AGCGTCAGCCTCACTCATTATTTTTATTCCGGCTGAGGGAGAGACAGGAGACACTCCGATTGGCCGCCTTACGTTTGAACAAATATTCAAGGACTGAACACTGTGTGCAAAACGCTGACATGTTCGTCAAATATGAATCCACGTTTATGTATCTTGGGACGTCACTAAAATGACGTATCATGAAAGGAGGCCGGAATAAAAATAATGAGTGAGGCTGACGCTTCACGAACAGAGGAAGCCAGTTCTGCTCTTGTTGGCTAAAGGAGGGAGAGACAGGAGACACTCCGATTGGCCGCCTTACGTTTGAGGAGGATCCCCATTCACGCGTGCGAACGCGTTACTTCATGTTTGAATGACGAACGGTCTGGAGCCCCAGCACTCCAGGGTTGATCAAAGTGAGCCAGTCGAGGCCCGGTGGCCACGGAGACCACACCGACAAAGGCCGCAAGGGGGGGTGGCTTGACGCTTCCTGGGACGGGTCCTCCCCGTGGCAGAGAAAGAAGATCCTGGGCCCCTAAGTCTCCCAGCCACGGTTCTCCTTTTCCCGCAACGACTGAAGTCATCGGGAGCCACCTGCCGCGTGTGGCCACAACCCAACACGCGGGGGGCCCCGAAGCCCGCCCGAGAGCCAGCGACTTCACAGCCAGGTCCTCGCTAGACTCCACCCAGGGCACTGGCAGTGGCCACGGAAGAAGCGTTTTAGCGCTTCCCAAACGGCTGCAGCTACTTAACCTAAACGGGTGGAAACACACCGCTGCAATATTGGAAACGACAGGTTAGAACAGAACTCACGCTGAGGGAAGAAATGTGTGTTCACGCAGGGCGGTCATCTTAACTCGCTGCTTAAGTATGACGGGTTTTGGTTCTTCTGAAGCTCCGTAGGTTCTTTCTTTTCTTTTTCTATTTTATTTTTTTAACACCTATTCATTTTTGAGAGTGAGAGAGACAGAGTGCGAGTGGGGGCAGGGGCAGAGAGAGAGGGAGACCCAGGATCTGAAGCAGGCTCCGGGCTCCGAGCTGTCGGCCCAGGGCCCGACGCGGGGTTCGAACCCACGGACTGTGAGGTCGTGACCCGAGCGGGCGTCGGACGCCCAACCGACTGAGCCACCCGGGGGGCCCCACGAAGCCCCGTTGTTTCTGATGGCGGGAAAGGAGCACTGTCCGATTTTTCTGCCAAAGGAGAAAGAATGGGTTTTCTCCCCTACTCTCCGAAACCGTGACAGACCAGGCCACAGAGTCGCTTCGTTATGATTTCCCAAACAGCTTCCGAATGCTTCAGACACCATCAAAACCACTCTGCCCATTGAACAGATGAGGAGATGGAGGCCAAGATAAGGCCGGGCCCAGAGGAACACGCTGGAGGAGTCAGGACTCGAACTCAGGTCCCCCACTCTATAGAGCTTTCGATCGGACAGCCGGCTGTTTTTAGGGCAGCCGGGGACATCTGCAGGTGACCAAATCAAGGCCAACAGGTCGTCCGGAAGGTAGAGCAGCACACTGCGGCTGTGGCCGCTGCCTCGTAGCAGGCACTCGGTGACACAACACGTGTGGGACAGACCCGCGGGGCTGGGCTCTAGCCTCTAGCCCGGCCGTGCACACTGGGCCTTCCAGATGTGACACCCGACTTCTAGAACAGGTTCGTCGGTGTCTTCCGGCACGCAGGCATTCGGCAACGTTTCGATTCAATTGACTGCGGCTGTGCCGGCTAAGACACAGCGGGCCACGGCGGACCACTCCAGAAGCTGAGAGGCCCGCAGAAGCCGAACTTCTCCCCACGCAGAGCAGCTGTGGGGGACCAGGAGGCCGGCTTCAGCCGCCCCCAGGCCCGTCTGAGCCACGCCCTCGGGAACCGGGGCTCCTCTTGAATCCGAAGCTAAAGCCGGCTAGAAATCTCATGGTTAAAAGCCCCCCAAATCAACGTGTTCTGCAAACCGTGGAGGCTGCCGAAGGAGTCCCAGGGGGTAAAAGACTGGAATTTCTGCCCTTTCAACCAGTCCGGGCACGCCGGCCACTCTACTCATTTTCTCCGACGGTAGTTTCGAGGCAGACCTTTTCCCACCCTAGCCTTGAACTTAGGGCTTGCGTTGAGATTTGCAGTTATTTCAGCCTCGAGCATGGGAAAAGTTACCAGAAGGAAGAGTAGGACGCAGATTCTTTTATCTACCTATAGAAATAGATATACGTATAGATATAGATAGATGATATGTAGATATATAGACACAGAGAGACAGAGATAGAGATACAGAGATAGATATATAGATATAGATATAGATATAGATGAGATATAGATATAGATATATATAGATAGATAGAGATAGAGATAGATATAGATATAGATATAGATATATAGATATAAAGAAGCAATGGCTTCTGGAACAGGGCCACAGCGTTTTCTCCACACCCTTACAGAACAGTAGGATTTCGAACGCCCCGCCAGATCGCTTCACTTCGGTAGGAGTTTTCCCAGTTGGTTGAGAGAAGGGTAGAAATAAGGACAGGGATATTCCTGATTCCAAAGACTTCTTTTCAAAAGGTTGCTGCATTGCAATGTTAAATATAGGATCTTAATCTATAAAAATTGGCTGAAATAGCAAATCTCCTGGATGCTGTCATTCTTAAACTTTTAAAAATGCAGTCCTCTGTGACTTCTCCAGATCAGTAACCGGGAAGTGGCTTAAGCACTGACCTCATAACGATAAAGTGGTCCCGTGATTTATGCTGTCGAGGGGCTCAAACCCCACGAACCGTGAGATCATGACCTGTTTCTTAAAGAGACCCAGTTGTTTAACATTTACTAACCTACCAGTGGGCACAATCTAATTATTTGACTAAAAAGTCTTCATTTTTACAGTCCTGCTACTCAATTATTGCTGTAAGGGAGCACTAAATAATACTGTGAATTAAAATACAGAAGTTACTTAAGAAAGCATAATATTCACGAGCTAGAAAGCCTAAAAAATCAGACCTTTAAAATTGTTCTCAGAGAGCAACAGGTACTTTATGTAGTCAAAGAAAACATAACGTTCCTTAAATGCAAATATTTCTCCTATATAACACATTCACACAGTGGTAAGTTGACAAAGGTTTATTCTGTGCTCGCTTTCTGCTGGTATGCTCGTTCACGGTAATTTGTACGATATTTACAAATGGAATAGAGTGGAAAAGAGTTCTTGACAGTTCTTGACAAAGAGAGTTCTCAGCCAGCATGTAAGATTTAAAATAATAATAATAATAATCCCTGGGGCGCCTGGGTGGCTCAGTCAGTTAAGTGTCTGACTTCAGCTCAGGTCATGATCTTGAGCTTCATGGGTTCACGCCCCACCTTGGGCTCTGTGCTGACAGCTCAGAGCCTGAAGCCTG